ATACAAAATAAAGAAAAGGAAAGGCAAAAAGAAAAGAAGGAAAAGCCAAAAAGAAGTATGTCAAAAGAAAGTGAATAAGATGGAAAAAAGTGAAGGGATTCAAAGAAAGCAATGATGAAAGGCATGGAAAGATTAGTAAAGGAGAAAAATGATCGTCATGAGCAAGAAAGAGTGACAGTGTGTCTCTCTAGTTCCCCTAAGGAAGAAGAAAATGACTCAAAGAGTCAAGAATGTGTGAGCCGAAAGAGAAAATGGAGTGCTTAAGGAAAGATGAAACCATCATATGCCAATAAGTCCTACCTTGAACCAAAAGCCTTCATTACATTCCCGCAAAAGCCCTATATGATTTCGAGTTGAGTGAGCTTATATTAGTAGTGATTTACATAAGGGGCAAGCTTATGTTACTTAGAGCTAGACTTGTGACCTTCCCTTGAGAGAGATGAGCGTATTTCTCCAATCCTTGTTTTGAGTGCTACAATCTAAAGTGAGATTGCTTATGGAGAGTAGAGGAGGAAGAGTTTGGGTTTAACAATGACCTACGTAGTAGAGCGAGCTTTCTTGGTGAGTTAAGTCAACTTTTAATGCTCTTGTGTCGCACTAGAACTATGGTACTCAAAAGGTTGTGTGTTGTTGATAATTCATTTGTGTTAAGGGTAATTGTTAGTCCCAATTGATGCATGTTTGATTCACATTAGGGCAGCTGAAATATCCTTCTGTTTTGTTGAAGTGGGGGTGGGAATTACCTTATTTGCTTGAGGACAAGCAAACGCTTAAGTTTAGGGGAGTTGATAAGTGGGGATTTTAACCATTATTTAATCTCTTTTTACTTGCGCTTTGGGCTTGAAATGCGTAAAGGTATTACCGAAAACTAATATAATATGCTTGCTTGCAGAGATTGTTCATAATGAGCAAAAGTGGCCATGATCAACTCATAAAGGAGTCAAAACATGAATAAAGACAAAGATTGGGCCAAAACTGTAGAACGCGGACCGCGACAGAAAAGTGCGGCCATGAAAGTGTCACCGCGGATGCGTTCATGAATTCGCGAACCGCGAGAAGGAGAATCAGAGAGGTAGTTTCTGGGGCAGACATAAAGCGCAGACCGCGCCAGAAGTTGGCGGCCGCAGAAGTAGCACCGAGGCCGCGATTGGAATTCCGCTGACAGCGTGTGCTAAGGTTCAGAGACTTTGCAAGTCATGCAAAAATGAAGAAAGCAGTCCGCGACAAGAATACGCGGCCGCGAAAAATCACTCACGCGGACGCGATGAAAACTAGCGGTCCGCGAAACAAGTTCCAGCCCAATCCCATAAGAAAAGAAATGCGGACCGCGCTCAATATTATGTGGCCTCAAAAGCAAGAGTGCGGCCGCGGTCAGAATTACGCGGCAGCGAAACCTCCGCAGGGACATTTTTGTCCGGGAATTTCAGCCTAGTATAAATAGATCTTTTTCATATTTTTAGGTTATGTTATGTTCTGCTGAGTACGTGAGACGGCTAGTTTTTCTTGTTTGGGCAATTTTGTACAAGATTTACCTTATAATTTTAGATTTTCATCTTTTAATTTAGCATTATGGATTTTATCTTTGATTTCTGCTATTTTCATGAGTAGCTAAACCCATAGCTAGAGTTGTGACCCAACCCTAGTGTAGGTATTTAATGGGTCTTGTATTTTAGAGATTGAATGTGTATGGGTTAGTAGTATTTAGCCTAGTTCTTGCTAGAACTAAGGAATTGGTGGTTGCAAACACTGATTCATGCCTTGATGACTTAGTCTCTACTTGAGAAAGTGGGACTAAGTCTAGGAAAATTAGGCTAACAAGGAATTGGGGTGAACTCAAGAAATTGATAGCCCCAATTAAAGGGTTAAACCTAGAGATAGTAATACCCGACTTGAGCTAAAGTCACTTGAATTGCATGAATATCCATTTGGACTTGAGAAAGTCAAATTGGACAAAATAACTCAAATACCGAGAAGTATAGAGTGAATACCCGAGTTTGATGGCTATACTACGACCCCAATTAAGCACATGATAGCGCTAGATTCTTGCTACCCGTTAGATATCCACCTAGGCGAAAGTCACTACCCTAATCCCTTTAAATCTTTGAAAACAACCAACAAAAATATTTTACTTAGTTTCAAATATTGCATGTTATAGAATAGAAGTAGAAATAGAAAACAACCAACCATTTGTGGAAGTGCAATTAAGAGCAAAACCCGCATCTCTACTCGGATATAAACCTAACTCCCAACTAATTAACTCCCTGTGGATTCGATCCCGACCTTTGTCGGGTAAAACTGCATCGACCATCTTTGCTACTCAATAGTAGTATAGGCTTAGAACCGATCTACCCTATGTCTAAAAAAATTAACTAGGGAGTAGAGACTCTATGTTGGAAAATGCAGCTAGGGATTGGAGATCCTATACTACCGTGATTTGGGACTTTCTTTCTTCTTCTTTTTTTATATTAAGAGAATGAGTAAAATGCGGGAAAGTATTTGAAGAGGACTTCCCTTTTGGAGTCGTTGTTGCGGCAGAGCTATTTTAGTCTCCGCGCGGTTTCTTTTGGTTGCACCTGCTTCTTGCAAGGTTGCTTTGGATTACACATGTTTCCTGTTTCTCAAATGAAGAACAATTTGTCAACTTGAAACGCTGGTTGGTTTTGTCGCCTTGATTGTTTCAGTCACTTGATCCCGGCCTGGTCCATTTTCTTTCCCGGATTATTTTAAATCCATTTTTCCGCAATATTTCAAACAGAAATATTCCGAACAGCCATGGCTGTTTCTGAAAGGTTGCAAACCTTTTCAGAAACAGTGCTAGAAAGTCTATAAATATGCTTTGAATCCCAAAATCTTTCCTCACGAAATTTTCTGATCTTCTTCTTTTTCCTCTGCACAAAATTTTCCAACACTCTGGTGAGTTAAATTGTTCTATCCTGGGAGGATAATATTCCAGCACCTCGTGTACTTGAGGGGAATAATTTCTTTAAGGACACACTGTGCATTCAGTGGGCTCCATTTATTCCGAAATTATTTTCTGATATTATTTCGACATACTGTTTCTACTAATTTTCTGTTTCTGTTTCTATTTCAGAAAGTTTATTGTTTTTTTTATTTATTACAGTATTACAGAGTAGCTAACAACATCAATCTACAAACCAAGCAAAAGAAATGCATTATACCACTCAGAGCAATTTGCCAGCTTTGGCCAATATTGAACAGAGTGGCCCAAAAGAATGATACACAGAGTTAAATGGCATAGAAGAATGACACTCAGACTTAAAAAGAATTATCATCAACATTCAGAAAAGACTGCCCAATGCTTTTGCTTTGTCCCTTAGAATAAATTTCTGTATCTTCCCTGTTGAAGTTTTTGGGAGATCTTGAAATATGACGGTTCGAGGCGCCATGTAATGAGGCAAGTTATCCCTGCAGAAGTTGATAATTTCTTGATCACTAATATTATTAAAACCATCCTTCAACTTCACAAACGCACAAGGTGTCTGCCCCCAGTAATTATCTGGTCGCGCGACTACTGCTGTTTCAAGAACTGCTGGATGACTATACAACACCCTTTCCACCTCTACTGTACTTATGTTTTCTCCACCAGAGATTACGATATCTTTCAATCTGTCCTTAACTTCTATGTAACCATCAGGATGTTTAACAGCCAAATCACCACTATGAAACCATCCACCTTTAAAAGCTGCTTCTGTTGCTTCTAAATCATTCAAGTATCCACTCATTACAGTATTCCCTCTGAACATAATTTCACCAATTGTCTTACCATCTTCTGGTACTTTCTTCATTGTGATAGGATCCATCACATCCACTGACTCTGAACAAAGATGTTGCACTCCTTGTCTTGCTTTTAGTTTGTACTTTTCATTTGGTGGCAAAGAATCCCACTCAGGCTTCCACAAACAATATGTACCTGGACCATATGTTTCTGTTAGTCCATATAAGTGATGTACTCGAAACCCGAGTTCCTCCATTTGGGAAAGGATTTGTGGTGGTGGTGGTGAACCACCTGTCATTATGTTAACCTTGTGTGGAAGTGGTTTTCTATTACTTTCGGGCGAATTCACAATCATGTTTAGAATAGTTGGTGCACCACTCAAATGTGTGACATTGTGCTCTACTATACTTTCAAATATGACTTTTGGAGAAACCTGTCTAAGGCAAATACTTGTACCACCAAGTGCAGCTAGACCCCAAGTCAGACACCATCCGTTGCAGTGAAACGTTGGGACGGTCCAAAGGTAAACAGGCCATGAACTCATCTCATGAAGCATAAATGTAGCAATGGTATTGAGATATGCACCTCTGTGATTGTAAACAACTCCTTTGGGTCGCGACGTTGTTCCAGAAGTATAGTTAACACTTATAGGGTCAAATTCACTTATCGGCCACCTTACAGCGAATTCGCTATTTCCACTTTCCAGGAGACTTTCATATTCATGAGTATTAGACTTCGCCACAGTAGGAGTAGAATTGTTGGATTCAGATATTACAACAAGAAGTGGTGGTATTACTTTTTCATTAGCAAGAATATCTATGGCTCCCTGAGCAAGTTGAAGCAAGTGCTGATCCACAAATATGACTTTTGCTTCTGAATGTTTTAGCAGTACTGATATCATAGCTGAATCATGACGTGTATTTAATGTACAAAGAACTGCGCCAGCCATTGGTACTGCAAAATGCAGCTCTTGCATTGCGTATACATTTCGAGCCAATGTTGCAACCTGCATAAATAATTTTAAATCTATGAAAATGGAAAAGTAAACCCTTTAAATTCCCAACTCATGATTCCAACTGAGCTTAACTTGGTAGTTGTTTACGACAACAAGAATCGCCGATATACAGAGGATTCGCGTCAAAAGATAACTTAATACACCCCCATACACGAAGAAGAACGAGGATTCGCGTCACTGAAAACCAATACTAGGAATTACGAGTATAATTAATGAAACGTAGAAGAACTGAGAGAGCAAAATACACAGAGTTGACTTCAGATAATTTTGCGTTGGATTTCAAAAAATTTGGAGAAGATGGAATTGTTTTTTCGCTAAGAATATGGGATTTAGATAAGTCATTATCGACCCATGTTCTATTACAAGTACGTGTGCATTACGTGTAAAATTAGATGTTAACCAAAAGGTCCCTTAAGTTTGGGGATAAGTCTATTTTAGTCTCTTTTATTATATTGAGCACATATAATCCATTAAGTTTACAAATATTGAGCAATTTTCATCCAACACATGAATCTCCAAAATTAATTACTCAAAATTTATGAAAATATTTTAGATTTTCCATGTGGACAAGCTAAATAAGGATCGTGATCGGGGTTTTTTGCATAATTTATTTTTTCCCTTGATCGCGGTTTATTTTTATTACTAATCTTTTTTTCCAACTTTCTACTTATTCTCGTGTAGTTTTCTGCTTGTGCTGTGATTAGTTCAAAATTTTAGAGGAAAATTGATATTTTAGGATAGAAGATCTCTATCGAAAAAACACAGGAGAAATTCAAAAATAGCCAGATTTACAAGTGATCGTTCAAAAATAGCCCAGTTTCAAAAGTAATCGAAATTTAGCCACTTTTCATGTAAAGATAACTTTGAACGAAAACAACGTTCAAAATTCGGAAAAATACTCCAGCATAATATACTGGAGAGTTTCCAGTATATTATACTGGAACTCCAGTCTAATATACCGGTCCAGCATAATATACTGGAGTTTGGAGCACCGGTGCTCCAATCTCTAGTATATTACAAAAAAAAAAAAAAAAAAAAAAAAAAAAAAAACGTGACATTTCCGTTAATTTTAGTGGCCCTGGCCCGTCTGGACCTTGCTATCCGTATCATGCTTGCTAAAAAAATGTATCATTTTAATGGTGTAGTTAGTACTTCTTTTTGACGAAAATTTCTAATCCATATCGTGCTTGCTATGAAAAGTTTGCATGCTATTATAGGTCAACTTAACAGTAATATACTTTATTTATTTTTCAAAAAATATCAATAAAACACTAGATGAACTCAATAAAACTTGTCTTGTATCATGAAAGAATAAGAAGATTGAAGTGTTTCAACAACAATCGATAAGGAAGTGATCATACATATTAAATTAATCATTTAAAAGTAAATAAAGATAGATCTATTATAATAGTTATATTGAATATTCTTATATTATGTATGGACGCATTTTTTGAAGAAATTATATTTAAAATTTTATACATTTATGGGTGCATGTCGGTTTGGATTTTTTTTTTTAATACCAAATCCAACCAAAGATATATAGATATTTTAAGTCGATTTAATTCGGTTTTCGGTTGATATAATGTTGAACACTAGATAAGAGGCCATTGTGTGCTGCTCCAAAAGCAATTACTCTTTTGAGTTTTGAGAAAGTATTTTCAATACACTTCAATATTGCCTCGTTATTCATCCTATGTTCTAACGTAAATAGTTAGAAAGAAACTTACCACATCCCCACGAGAAATCCCAAGCTCAGACAAAGCAGAAGCAAGCTTTATACACCGTGCATGCGTCTCTTCCCAAGTATACTTCACAGAAGGTCCATCAATGATAGAAGTTCTTCCTCTAAAAACATTTGCTGCTCTCTCCAAGAAACTTATGGGTGTCAATGGAACATAGTTTGCTGAACATTCAAGCAAACCGTCCATTGATCGCAATGCCTCGGATTGAAGATTCATCGAAACCTGACACGAGTGGCGAGGCCTCTGAGTATTTATGTGTTTAATTTGAACTGAATTGGTACTATAAATAAGATTTCGTGCCAATCCTGAGTGACTCATGGTGATGGTTGAGAAGAAAAGTCAGAGAACCTTTCAGAACTAATGACATATATTGGCAATTTGAAGATCATATAGAATTGACTTGAATTGAGTATTTCTTGTTTCTTCATCGTGTTGGCAATATAAAGTTTATTTATAAACCGGCAATTTAAAACACGAACGTGAGCTGAGCGGATATGATGGGATTTCCAGCGAGCAGTCAACCTTTAAGTTTTTGTATATTATTATTTCGTTTACCATATATAATCAAATGAGTGAATAAACCTTTACATCAGTACTTTTCTATCTAGACGGGCATCTCCTTTTCAAGCAAAATGACGATATTCTGGAATGCAATTAAACAGAGTAACAAATTACTATATTAGAAAGGTAGATCTCAGATTTGTCTTTGCTTGAAGTGGAAGCTAACGAACACAAACAGTTGCAAAAACGATAACGTACATTCACCAGAAAAGGAATATCATTTCACTAAAACAAAAATAATATGAAGTGAGAACGAAAGCAAGAATTAAAGAAAGGAGGTCCACTACACATGGCTGAATAAATAAAAACAAAACAATAAGTAAATGAAGAAGAAGATGCAGACATGCGTTCCACTGAGGCACTAACCACAGAGGAAGAAGAATAAAAATAAGAAAGATCAAAGAAAGTATACACCAAAGTGGATATCACCACGAAGCAAAATTCCTTTAAATAATATGGACAGATCAAGAAGTGATCCTTTACAGGATTTTATGCACAGGGCATAGACAGCAATCATGCATCAAATTTGAATTATTAACCAATGATAGCACAAATAAAAAATGTAGCAGCAAAATTATAGAAAGCAGATTTAAACAAAACTGCAGCTGCTCGAAAAATAGGCCAAGTAGATATCTGGACAGTGAACAAAATTTCTTAACTCTTTTCAGAATATATTGCTGATTAGTCTAGAGCAGCTATAATTGCATCAACAACTTCTTGGGTAGTGCAATCCCCTCCAAGGTCCTTTGTCCTGACTTTTCCCTCTGCTATTACACGTTTTACAGCTGTTTCTAAACGATCAGCAAATGATGGAAATTCAAGATGTCTAAGCATCATTGCTGACGACAGAAGAAGCGCCACTGGATTTGCTTTCTTAAGCTTCAAAATCTTTTCATTGCCAACATTCCCAGCTGAAGCACCTTGCTCAAATACTGCTTGATCAGTCCCAACATTACCTGAGAAAATCACAGCCATACATTATATCTCATAAGCAGCCTAATGCTTGAGGAAGAAATCCAGATAATATTCTAATTGTTCCCTGAGAGATGGCTATAAATGATCTGTAGAATAGACAAGCGCAAGGCACTTAATCTTTCTTCCAACAAAGAAGTTAGAACAACTACTAATGAGCATTTGTTAAAGTCACAGGAGAAGTAGGCACTCATAAAGAGGCTTCTAGTGCATTTTGTTAAGTACTAGCAATTAGTCGGAGCTCTCACATAATAAGCAAAAGGGCACTAACCAATTCAACAACCAACCAGTAAATACCTCATATTTGGATGGATATCGTTATACTGGAAGGTTCTTTATTACTCAGTCATGGAGGGGGGGGGGGGGGG